CCCCACCCCCCCCACTCACATTAAATCAGTTTTATTGCAATGAAAATATGAACATTTCAGACATCTAACGTAAAGAGACAAAATATGGTCATTAACTGAGTGTTAAAATCATTAAAAGCACAAAACTTTGACAATTGACGTATTAGTCCTTTCTGTGGATTCCTGGTGGCGCCGTGCAGCACCACTGGCTCTGCAGCAGGGCCCAGCTGGCTGGGCCTCAACATGGGAGACAGTCTGAGAGCCCGTCACTTCGGGTCCAGCAGAAAACCGGAGCGTTCGCCTGCGCTCTGCACCTGGCGAGCTGACACGCTGCAGCATGAGGTAAACGATATCTAGATTCTTGTCTCGATTCTTGGTCTAGCCAGTTCTGCCCCGTGTGCGTATCATTAGCAGTTGGCCCGGCGTCACGAGCTAAATAGAAACATGATCGGGTTTCTTCCATGCTCAAGACAGAGCTTCAGCACTTTATACTCTTTTGTCTCGTGTGCATTTCTGTCGCAGGGCTCTGTCCGGAGCGGTATGATCACGATCGCATACTCTACAGTCATCTGATAAGAGGCAGTATTCCTGCCTCACTCCGCACAGGCACGCCAAGGTTAGAGCGCTCGCTCAGGCATACTGTATTAATTCAGTGCTGGTGCCTACAAAGTCACAGAAAAACCAGAAATACTAGTTGACCTACGAATTTGTTTACAAGTCCATAGGAGGGGCTTTAGTTACTACCTTGGTTTTAATTCTGTTGAGCATACACACATGATATTTGTAATTACAGACAACCAGCATAGGGAAATTGTTGTCGCTTTAGCTGGTTAAAACAGGGAAGTTATCCTTTTTATTGATCACTAGGAAATCTTGCCAGCTCTTTCTTTATCCTATACTGGAGTTTGAACCTTTTGATAAAATTACGCAGTACAATTAAAGCTTGTCTAACATTGGATGGATCTGTGCCACAGAGAGAGCTCTATATAGGTCTGAGAACAAGGTATCATATGAAAGTGTATCGGTCTGTAGACAACTATTTTTTTCCCTACTACCGATACAGACACTGAAACATGATGTTATGATAAGTTTAAGATCGAACAAATATATGTTGCTGTCTGCTGTCAGAAACAGTGAGCGGAGCTGAACGCCATGTGTCGGCTGGCGGTGGCGAGCTGGAGAGCCTGACCTCTTGCCGTACATCCTCCATATGGACGTAGTCTGAGCCAGGCTGATCTCGATCAGCTCCGACAGACTGTGCTTCCAGTGCAGGATGTCTGTGTCCTTCAGCGCGTCCATCAGCTTGTGGGCCGTCTTACCCTGCGTCGCCCCCTGCTGGACTAGAGACTGAATGCCCAGAGACGCCAAGTACTGCAGCAGAGAGATTATTGATCAGCGCGGGGGCACGATGTCAAAGATAAAATATACACACAACGGCTGGTTTAGCCACGTAAAATGATGCATTCTGGGTTGGTTGTGTGTTTATTTTATGGAGGAATACTGACTGAAGGAAAACTGTTTATAATCAGTTTGTACACAGGAACAAAAATGATAATTAAAACATTAAAATGTGATGATGATAAACATGCACTGAGAATCAGAATTCCAAAAATACAACAAACATCCACTAAATTATTTTGGAAAAATGTGATCAGTGTTTTACATCCATCTGTCTTTGTCAGATCACCCGCATATATTATAGAAAAGGCTCAAAATATGAATGTTTTGGGAGAAAGACATTAGGATATGATGATCTCTCTGTGAGCTTTATGGTCTGTGTGAGTAGTTCGAGTAGAAAATGTACAAATGTGAGATATGTATCTGGTCAAAATGTTGTTAATAGCTGGTAAAAACAAAAAGCTTTCACAATGAAGTGGAGTAAAGTGGATCCTCCTACTTAGAAACAGTAGATGGAGAGAGTAGAGAAAATCTACATAATGGAAAAACTGACACATTGCTTGAAAGAAATGGTCGTTATTCAGGATCCAAAACAGCGACGGAGACCAAAGAAATTACATAAAAACTCACAAAAGCACTTTTCTGTGTGTCTGTTTATACGTTAATCTGTTGGCTTTACATGTTAAAATATTTATACGGCATTTCAAAAAGAATTTAAACTGAATAAACTAATTTTTTAGTATTACAGACTATTACACCATCATAACTCACACCAAATACTGATTCTGTTGATGGTAAAAACTTGTATTTAAACGGTAAAATATGGAAGAAAACTTAAAAATCAACAGTAAATACAGTAACTATATTATGGGAATAATTCTGTAATCAATAATTAATGGACACCCTGCAGCCAATCATGGTATAATACAATATATTCAACACTACAGTACACAGTAATACTGTTTCTTCTACAGTAAGTTTGTTAATTACTGTGAATTTACTACAAACCTCTACTTCTACTGCACCTTTTTGTAACTGCAGACTGTGTTTTGATAAAAAATGTGTTACTGTTTAATAGCATTTTAAGTATTTTAGCAGTTGACAAACATATATAATGTTGTGCTGCTCTGTTAAACTTTCTGGCACAGTGTATCATCTGATTTAATGTCGGTGTTTTCAGTTGGTTTATGTTGAGATTTTGAGGCCAAAAAATTTAAATTACAGCCATTTTCTGGACTGAAACTGCTGTGAGAAGGGAGCCAACAATTAATGAACGACCACTTTAATCCAGGCATTTTTGTGTTTAAGAGCTCTCTGTGCACTCACTGGCAGGCAGAAGTGGGCAGCCATTTTCACCGAGTCCTCAGTTAACACCGTGCTGTCAGATCCCCTCGTCTGTTCCAGCGTGTAGAGCCAACTCTGATGTTGGACACAAAGACAGGGAGGAATAAAGCGAGGCAACGCTCGTTAAATTCACACATAATGAGCCGTCAATCTTAGTGCAACAGCGACAGGATGAACAGGAGGAAAGAGGGTTTTTACCAGACAGTGCTGCAAGCACACGTGATCATTGGACTCCTGGGCAATGCGGATGGCCTCCTGCAGAGCCAGATCGGCCTGCTGACTGAGAGAGAACAGATGTATAAGCTTTGTTTTATACAGATAGTGTGTCAGGGTTTCACCTTTCCACAACATTTTCCAAGAGTTTTCTTGACAATACAGGACACAAACAGTCTTATAATTCTCCAGTAGGCCTTGTAGGTCGTCAGCGTTAATTGGACAATCCGCTGTGGTCTTAGCTGAAAGGTTTCCAGCGTATTGACTAAGTTTACTGCAGTTTTCCTGTAACATTAATTTGGCTGCAGCTCATAAGACAGTTCGACTCAGGTAGAATGTATTATATTTGACAGAAAATGTAACTTCTAGAAAGGGAAAGTGTTGTTTGCACGTACAATTAACATTGCTGTGCTACGGAAATAAATAAATAAAGATAAGAGTCTGCTTTATAGTTAAATTATTTTTTTACTGATGAGGGTTATTCTATTAATTCTACCTCACTTCTGTGTTTCTGTATTTCTCTGACTTTATTTTGCCTTATTGCCTCCTGGAATGCTTTTAATCCTGTTTCCATGTAAGTTGATCTGAGAGAGCAGCTAAAATATTTTAGTCATTTTAGTAGATTTCTAGAGGTTTTCACAACTGGAAAACTACTCTCTAAATTTCCAGGTTTTCCAGGACGTATGGGAACCCTGTCTGACCCTGAACCCTGACTCAGACTCCTCCAGCTCTCGTACTCACTAGTGGCCGAAGCGGCAGTGCAGGCTTGCCAGGTTGAGGGCAGCGTAGCGGAGGCTCCGGCCGTAGCCTTCGTCCCCGTTGCTCTTTCCCTCGTTTCCAGACAAGATGAGGCGGTCGAAATAATGTAAGAGGCTGTGGGCGGAGAGGAAGATGTCCTGGACTCTCATGCTGTTCAGGTAGTTGAGGTAATGCTGAGGAGAGAGTAACAACCACAGAGCTGATAAGGAAGATATTTCAGGACAACAAAACTGAACAATGAACAAGAGGATGAAATGTAATAAAGGAGGGAAAGTTCAGTGAATGGATCTCACCGCTTCAGCAAAATCTGGGTTAAACTTCAGCATGTTGTTGAGCTCCTCCTGCAGCGCGGCAGGCTTTAGAGCTTTGTTCTCGTCGTTCTTCAGGAGATAAGCCTGCAGAGAGAGGTTTTCAAACTGTAAATGAACTGCTCTTATTACAGTGCTTCTCTACCGTAACGACAAAGAGCTGCACAATGGGCCTCTCATTCAACCACTTTGTCCTTATAAGGGAAACTAATCTGTGTGTTTCTGCGCTTCAGATCTCCTCCAACCTGCTTCTGACTGACTGACTCTGCATGCTGCATTTTATTTGTAAATTATCCAGATTCTCTACGCCGTTTGCGTCTGACTTCCTGCCAGTGCGATCTGCTCTGGTTTAAACCAGAAAATACAGTTCAGTTCACGTCAGCCTTGATTCAGACATTAGGAATCGAGCAGTTAATTATTATCTGACATTTGGAGATAATTGGCTGCGATCATGAGGCTGATAAACAAAATCTGTCTCATCAGTGTGATTGCAGCTGATAGCGCTTCCCTTCGTGAGGACGTTACTTTGAGGCTGTAACTCTCATGTATCCTGCTGTAAACGTTTGCTCAGTCACTTTTCTAAATGTGAACACTTTCCTCCTAAATGGCAGCAAATCTAATCTTAAACCGTTGATGGCGTTAAACGTTAAATATATATTATAATGTACAGAATAATGCAGATGAATGTCTCTTCTGACAGACTATACCCACTGGATAATCTACTGTTTTTATATTTCTATATTCAGTTTATAGATTAATAACAAATCAATTTAAAACAACATGTTACTGGCTAAGATAATCTAAATAATGGGATTACACGTTCTATACCTGCTCTCTAAATATTGAACAACCCGCGTTCGACCACTGAAACACTCACCTGTCTTGCGAGAAAGTACTCTGCTTGTTTTTGTGACAGGGGACCTCTGCTGGGAGCGTTGTCGTTTCTACAACGGAGACAAAATAACACCAAAAGCTGTTGGTTGGGAGTTACTTTCTATCCCGTACATAAGACTCTAGATTATATATATGAAGGCCAGTGTGGATGTGTGTTTCCAGCCGCTGTAACTCTCAAAAAGTATAGATAAAATAATAAAACTCAGTCACTAACCTCAGCTCGGACTCGTGCAACGGGGTGTCCAGCTCCTCTTTGTCTATTCTGTCCCCGACGGCGTCCTCCGGGTTGGTGAGGTCCATGTCGGAGTCGTCAGCGACCAGCGCCGGCAGACCCACCTGCCCGTCGCTGGGCTTGGCGTAGTGGCTGTGGTAGTACTGCTGCAGGGACTTGTACAGCTTGTACACCTGACTGAAAGACAGCTTGTCGTAGGCCAGAAACATGTGCCTCATAAAAAGACCTGAAACACACAAGTGAGACGCAGCTTTAACGCTTTAATGAGAATAAAGCGAGGTGATTCAGGACTTCCTGTCGGTGGCGTGAACTCACCCACAACGCTGGTTTTATAGGCCTCAGAATCAAACGCAATGTACGGATTGGGGAGGTCATAAAAGAAGTATTCCATGTCCTTCAGCTCTCCGTTGGCCATTTCATGGAGCCTGTGAGGGGAAAAACAACACGTCAGTACTTTAACATCACTCTGGTCTTTATTCTGTCTTTATTCTGTCTTTATTCTGTCTTTACTCTGTCTTTATTCTGTCTTTATACTGTCTTCATACTTCTCTGGGACTTTGGTTATTAGGCTGCAGCTCACTGTTTTTTTCTAGGGAGGCGCCTAAATTCTGTGACAATACTGATGTTTAAAAGAATAATTTGGCTGTTGCAGATGTGTTTTTGTTGTTATTTATTCGTCCTGTTGTGGCTGGAAACAAAGAAATTAAAGATAAGCTGCGTTGTTGCAGCTCAGTTTCTTTTTCTTCTCGTTCATGATGTGAGACACAGACCACTGATATCAGTGAATGTCATCTTATTTACCGACGTCAGTAAACAAAGCTGATATAATCGGTGCATCCCTGATAGTTTCATTATCGATTACTGCCAGTTGTTTTCTCAGTTAATCGATTAGTTGTTTGGTCCATAAAATGTCTGAAAATGGTGAAAAATGTTGATCACCAAACCCACAGGTTACATCCTCAAATGTCTCGTTTTGTCTACAACCCAAAAATATTCAGTTTACTCTCATAAAAGACCAAATAAACCAGAAAATATTCACATTTCAGAAGCTGAAATCAGAGAATGTATCAGTTATTCATAAACAAAATAAATATTAATAGAATTGTATATCAAAATAGTTGGAGATGAATTAAATATTTGTTGTGTTGCAGCTGTAGTTATTATGAGAGTATAAAAGTTTACATTGTGATTATGTGCTGAAAGTTCCTGAACTTGAGAGACTGTGAAAGCATCAGGAGTAACACTTTTATATTCATCCGTGTATATACTGTCAAATCGAGCTCCCACATGTATATAAAATACTATTTAATAGTACTATAATATTTATTCTAGCATCCACTGAACCTTTAAATGTCTATATATATATATATATATATATATATATCTATATATGTGTGTGTGTGTATTATATCTGTTCATAACAGTTTATGCAACATGAAACTGGAGTCAGATTCCTTGTACACGCTGTTACAAGGCTGCATGCTACAGATTTAAATGTATATTATTATGAATTATCTGGATAATTAAATTATAACTTCATAATAATAATAATGATTTTTTTTTATTCTTATGCCAAACGTTTGATTGGCTTTATGTTCCATGAAAGACAAAGTGTGTTTGTGAAGATTTATAATGAACTTTACAAGATAAAAAACGACGGTAAAGCTTCAATTAGAAGCAGGTCAGGTGAGAGCGCCACCTGCTGGTGAAACGAAGTAAGCGCTGCGTGGCGATTTTGATCTGATTTACGTAAAATTTTCATGTCGTGGTCAACACGTGTTACGACGGCACCCCGAGCGGCGTGGAGTGCGAGGGCCCGTTCATCGCTGCTTGCAGCTTTAATTTGTTTTTGTTGTTGTTGTAAACAATAATGATATCTGTTAGATAAAATAAAATAACATAAAATAAAAAAACTTAACTAAAATAAAATAAAATAGCAAAACGAACGAAAATAAAGAAACTTAACTGAACTAAACTTAAATAAAATAACAAAACAAAATTAAACTAAACTAAACTTAAATAAAATAAAACTAAATTAAACTAAACTAAACTTAAATAAAATAAAATAACAAAACAAAATTAAACTAAACTAAACTTAAAAAAAATAAAATAACAAAACTAAACTAAACTAAACTAAACTTAAATAAAATAACAAAACAAAAATAAAATAACATAAAAAAACTAAACTAAACTAAATTAAAATAAAAAAACAACAAAACAAAAATAAAATAAACTAAACTTAAATAAAATAACAAAACAAAAATAAAATAACATAAAAAACTAAACTAAACTAAATT